GGGGGTTTGTTTGTTTGTTTGAAGTTAAGCACAAAGCTACACAATAGCTATCTATGCTCTGCCCACCACGGGTATCGAAACCCGGATTCTAGCGTTGTAAGTCCGCAGACTTACCGCTGTGCCACTGGGGCTGCCAAAACGAAAGAGTAAAATAATGAAATAATAAGGAAATACAACACTTTATTTTATCGTGAATAGCCTGTATTCCATTAATTTGTGTCTGATATCTAGTTATGATGAATTAGGGGAAGAAGTTCCGATCGGATATCATTAGGTGTACAAAAACTACAGTGTCTCTTTCCAACATATTTTCTGCTTATGTGCAAGTTTTACTCAAAACGGGTCTGGACTCACCATCTATGGGTCGCGCGATCGAAACCATTCGCCTAACATGCTCGCCCTTTCTTCCGTGGGGGGTGTTAAAATTCATAGTCAAACCCACTATTCGTTGGTAAACAGTAGCTCAATAGTGGGTGGTGACTAGCTACCTCCCCTCTAGTTATCACTTCAAACTTAGGGACGACTAGAGCAGATAGCTCTCGAGTAGGTTTGCACGAAAAAAAACAACAAAAAAACTAATTTATCCAAAACCCGTTTAAATGTTTTGAAACAGTCCTCAATTCTTGTTAGGCCTAAGTTTTTAATGGGGAAATTTACAAATTGGAGTAGAATCGAGTGTTCTGATACAAACTTTAGACGTTTTGATTTTCTCTTTCATTTTTTCTTTGAAGTACCGTGGTAAAAAACAAAACATCTTCACTGGTTTTTAAAGGATACCACATCAATTTCTGCGTAGAATTATTTTTAGCAAAGTAAAATGTGCTTATTTGATATTCACTATTTAGTTAGAATCAACGAGACGCAATGAAATAAACATGTTCAGTTATCAGAAGTACATGTTCATTATCAGAGATGGAGTAAATTCACTTAAATTGTATCATTTACAAGAAGGAAACATTTGAAAAATTTATAAGGACTACTTAATACTAAATATTAAATATTCTAGACTAATATTACTTAACGATATTAACTAAAAGTGTGATTTGTAGAGCCTGAAGTAGAAAAAAACAAAACATTCTTTGCTTGCCAAGTAATCCAATGAACAGGAAACAAAGAATGTTTGTTTGTTTATCCACTTTAGGCTCTACGAAACACAAGTTTAGTCCTACATAAATACCAAAATAATGGTTATCAAGTAATCCAATGAACAGGAAACAAAGAATGTTTGTTTGTTTATCCACTTTAGGCTCTACGAAACACAAGTTTAGTCCTACATAAACACCAAAATAATGGTTATCAAGTAATCCAATGAACAATAACCGTTATTTTCGAGTTTATGTAGGACTAAACTTTTGTGTTTCGTAGAGCCTAAAGTGGAAAAACAAGCAAACATTCTTTGTTTCCTGTTCATTGGATTACTTGATAACCGTTATTTTGGTGTTTATGTAGGACTAAACTTTTGTGTTCTTATTAGAAGCAAATAATGACAAATTTTCTTTTTTTGTTTATCGTAGGTGGTGAAAATGCTTGCTGTCGTTGTGGCAGTCTTCGCAACGTTGTGGCTGCCCTACCGAGCTCTCGTTGTCTACAACTCTTTTGCGAAACACCGTTACATGGAGCCCTGGTTCCTGATGTTCTGCAAGACAATGATTTTCATCAACAGTGCCATCAATCCAATCCTGTACAATGCCATGTCTGTCAAGTTTCGGCGTGCCTTCAGACGGACTTTATCTTGTCAGAAGAAGAATTGTCGACGAGGACCATACGGCAGTGTGGCGGGGTCTACCAGGTACCTCCCAAGTACCTTAACCACAGCTACAACAAGACTAGCCTCCTGTAGGGTAGAAAAATTACAGCAGGTCTAAATTCACACCGATTTAATTCGTACAATACCCCAGGTAGGGACACCACCATCACCCATACTAACAACAAGGACAACATCCTACAGTATAAAGACATTATGAGTGTAATCCAACAATTTCTTACAAGATGAACCCAAGGTAGGGACACCACCAACCACTCTTACATCCATACTAACAACAAGGACAACATTCTACAATATAAAGACATTATGAGTGTAATCCAACAATTGCTTACTAGATGAACCCAGGGTATGGAACACCACCAACCACTCTTACATCCATACTAACAACAAGGACAACATTCTACAATATAAAGACATTATGAGTGTAATCCAACAATTGCTTACTAGATGAACCCAGGATAGGGACATCACAACGTTCTTTGTGTAACTTTATTATAGCAGCCAGTACATTGCTTTCTCAACAGATGTCGACAAACTCTGGCTTGCTAAAATAAACATTGCTTATAACCTAGCACGTTAAGTAACCAAGGCAACATTTTTAAAGATAATGGAATTTGAGTGGCTGAAATGTCATAAGACGTTATTGATAAGCACAACGCGCACACACGAGAAACTTGTACCTTCTTTAAGTGAAAGATATAAAATATACAATAACATTCTCTTTTCAAATTGTAACTGTAATACTAAGCACAAAGTGTCTACTAAGTTTCATTACTTTCGTTCAATTTGAGAACAAACAAAAGTATTCGGACGCTACAGCCTTTTGTTGCCATAACGACCTCTAAATCACTTTGTAGTCTACCAGAGTTACTATGATGAGATGAAGATTCGAAACGAAGTAAAGGATATTGTAATAACATCTGCAATAATTTGATTAGGAGTACAATAAAGCCATAAAATTTCCAAAAGGAGAGAGAGAGAGAGAAAGGACTCGTGGGAAGGAAATCGTACAGAGAGAGAGAGAGAAGCATTTTTCTGAATACACTGGTTCATTGCACCGATAAATATAAAAAATATCAGGAGATTGCTTGAAATTGGACAAAAAAAAAAGAAGAAAAATTAGTATAGTTTTAAAAATGGAAAAGTGATTTGGAATATTGAGAGATAGTTTATCATTTTGTTAATGTGTTTTTTTTTAATTATTTTCATTATTTCACGACATTTGTAAACCGTCAGTCTTTTCATTTCCAAAATATCGGCTGTTCTCATAATTTTTTGCCAAAAATATAATTTTTTATCTTGTGCTTACTCTCCTAGTATTCAAAAGTAAGATTACATTTCCACACGTAGGTCCAGAGATTAGGTTTACACCCTTGTCCATGGGCAATAAATGATACGCCAGCATGTTCATCTTTTAAGCTACACACTCAATTTTTGCAAGATATATTTTTTTCATTTTTACTTAACGTATACAAAAGAAATCGGTTTTCTGGTAAGTTCTACATGGATAGCTACAAGAAAGAAGAATTCGCTTATCGTATTCTCCAACTCAGTGATAGTCAAGGTAATGCCGAGTTCGACTGACATTTATAAAAGGATGATACCTTGTGAATCATAATTTTTTTTTATTGATTTTGTTTACTTCAACAATGAAAATGGCCTAAGGCCTGGAAACCGCGAAATCCTCGAACAAGATACGAATAGATGTCTAGAAAAAGTAACAATTAACAATGAGAAACTAGATTCGATTTTCCAAATAAATGTCGTTGACGCCAAACTCTTGTAACAGAGGTTTAGTTTCATTGTTGTTGACGCCAAACTCTTGTAACAGAGGTTTAGTTTCATTGTTGCTGACGCTAAACTCTTGTAGCGGGGGTTTAGATTCATTGTTGCTGGCGCCAAACTCTTGTATCATTATCGTTGGCTCACAGTTCATGTTCACCATATTAATACTATCTGTGTTTTGAAAGGTCTCATTTATCAAGTGTTTTAAGATGATCAGTAAAACGTTAACAGATCCAGTTTACGCAAAAGCTGAAATTAGATGGTCCAGGGAGGTTCTTTTCATACAAACAAAACCTTTGTCCTAGTTCGAGCTAACTTGTCTAAAAGTAAGTATGTTTATTATGAAATAATTCTACCTATTGTTTCATGCCATTTCGAAAAAACTTCGAAGACAGGAGTACAAGTTTTATTTTTTAAAATACTTTGAGGACAGGAGTACAATTTTTTTTTCAAATACTTCGAGCACGGGAGTACAAGTTTTTTTTTTTTTAAATACTTCGAGCACAGGAGTAAAAGTTTTTCTAAATCGAGGACAGGAGTACAAGTTTTTTTAAATACTTTGAGACAGGAGTACAAGTTTTTTTTTTAAATACTTTGAGGACAGGAGTACAATTTTTTTTAAATACTTCGAGCACAGGAGTACAAGTTTTTAAAAAAAATACTTTGAGGACAACTCTTAAAATTCCTTCACTTCATTAATCATCTTCTATTTCAGTACTGATCTTTTTTTCTTTATGTTTTAGTTTGTATGTACTTAATTACAGTTTCACAGTAGTTTGGAACCGCAATGGTTATTAAAGTCCTGTCCTCCTTACAACGCTAGAAACCGAGTTTCGATATCTGTGGCGAGCAGAGCACAAATAGTCCATTGTGTAGCTTTGTGCTTAATTTCAAACAATGTCTTATTAAAATCCGTTTGTCATGGTTAGCAGTAGATATTTAGTGTTATTATGTTTACTTTTCACAACATTATTGTAGAAATAATAACACATGTTACCAGGAACCGGTATAACAACGAGCTTTCTTTGCAGTACGTTTTGTTACAATATTAGCAAGAGCTACAACGATCAACAAAATCTTTCAGTTCAGTCTAACAATGAGTGTTCTGTGCCAGCATGTTTTGTTACAGATTTATCCTAGCGAGATCCTCAAATGTTATCAGACATCTTTCAGCTTCGATGGCAATGATTTTCTTTGTCAGTATAAATGTCAGTATCTTAAGAACTTTTATTGGTAGTGGATTTTTTTCTTCATTGTCTGGAAATTTTAGGGAAACAAGGAGAAATTGTACCCACTGATTTTACTGAATATTTCATTAATTTATTACTTTCAAGCACGTTTATATTCTATACCTCTCCCTTTTTTTTTTTCATTTTTGGAATACTAAGATGACTGTTGCTTTTCCATATCCAAGTTTTTGTCCTTTGTTTTATCAAAAATAGCAAACATGAGCGTTTCTCAACGCTCTTGGATTATCATAATGTACCCACGTCGGTTGCACGTCAAGGAATTTTGTTTTTCTTCCAGGCCAAGTGAATGTGTGTCACGCGATGTAACCAGTAAAAGATGATTGATTAGCCAGTACCTTTCGAACGGTTCGGTTATTCAGAAGACAGGAAAATAATTTTAATCAAACTAATGTTAACAGAAATGATTTTACTTCGTGTTAATGACTTGATTACTTCTAAGTAAAACATTAGTTTAAAGCAAAACAAAAGTATGCAGGCCACTGTTATTATGTGATAAGAGACGTATACAAGCGGCACGTGTGATAAGAGACGTATACAAGCGGCACGTGTGATAAGAGACGTATATAAGCGGTATGTGTATACACATATAATGTGAAGAGTTTGGTTGCAAGAGAGGAAGGTTACATATTGTTAATATTTTGTGTAGTATTATCCAATAATATTTGCCATCTCCAGCTTTTGTATTGCTTATGCATTCGAGCTAATTCATTATCTCCCGTTTTTTCGTTTCGCATACTTTGGATCAGTATTCATTAAGGTTAACAAATATTCTGGTTATAAAATCATTTGTCTTGTACGGTACAACCACCAAAATATTTATAAAACTTTGTAAGTCGCGATTAATTGTCTTTTTTTTTTAAATGAGTTTTGACTACAGATTGCTCGTGTCTGTAACGAAACGTATGTTTAAAAATATTTTTATGCTTGTAACACTCAAACACATAGAAGATGCTACAGCAGACAAGGTTTCGGTGTTGACCAATAAAGAGCTAGAAGCAACATTTCTTCTTTCACACAATTTTCGCGCCAAAAAACACACGAAAAATCACAGGTTTAAAGATTATAGTGAATTTGTTTTAAGCCTAACGTGTAGAGGCATACGTACTCCAAATCAGGGAATAAAAGTGTATATTGTTTTAATGTTCTCTCTATATCATACTTTTATGGTGTTGCTTGTACCACGATCCTCTCAAGAAATAATCAAACCGGGTGGGCCAGCCAGAGTGTCGCCGAGTAATTAGCATTCCAGAATATTGGCTCTGCGGGTCCAAGGTTCGCATCCCCTTACTACAAAATAAAAATCGCGACTCGCACTTTCGAGCCGCGGGTGCGTTATGAGGGTGATGGTAAAATACCACTGTTCGGTCAGAAGAGAGTTGGCGGTGGGTGCTGTTGATTAGTTGCCTTTCTGCTAGTCTATCATTTCAGAATTACTGGCAGCTAGCGCAGATAGCCTTAGAATAACTTTGCACAAGTACCCAAAAACAAACAAACGAATGTTACTAGCACGAATAAATAAATATTAAACGCGATAGGCCCTCTAAATCTCTCTGTTGACATTGTTGGTTTCTATTGACATTGTTGGTTTCTGTTGATATAGTTGGTTTCTGTTGACATTGTTGGTTTCTGTTGATATAGTTGGTTTCTGTTGACATTGTTGGTTTCTGTTGATATAGTTGGTTTCTGTTGATATAGTTGGTTTCTGTTGACATTGTTGGTTTCTGTTGATATAGTTGGTTTCTGTTGACATTGTTGGTTTCTGTTGATATAGTTGGTTTCTGTTGACATTGTTGGTTTCTGTTGACATTGTTGGTTTCTGTTGATATAGTTGGTTTCTGTTGACATTGTTGGTTTCTGTTGATATAGTTGGTTTCTGTTGACATTGTTGGTTTCTGTTGATATAGTTGGTTTCTGTGGACATTGTTATTTTATTCTATCTAACGTTGCACTAACTTTCTCTGTGTGTGTCTATGAATAGCGTTTTAGGTTTTCAAAGCTTACTAGATAAAATACAATATTGAAAGGTGGAAAAGCTGAATTATATCTTTGGACCATAAGATGTGGT